TTGTCATCCTGCTTGGTGCTCTCTGGTTGATTAGGAGAAGTATCACCACTAGCACCAGCACCTCCAGGCAAAGACCAATAAGTACCATATCCCAATTTGAGATAGCTGACCATCCTATCCAGTCTGCCATCTTCAGGTGTTTGTTCTTGTGGCTGGTCTTTGCTAGCAGAGTCATCTGCGGTCGTCTGCTCTGGCGGAGTCTTGGCGGGTTCACTAGCTATTGTTGCTTCTGTTTGATCTTGGGTAGCTTGATATGATGCACGATCAGCCGCCCTTCTTCTCTTTGCGCGCCGAACAGATGTTGGGCTCTCGATAATTCCGTAAGCGTGATCTCCCCAAGTATACAGGTCCTCCATCCAGTGTGTCACATCTCTCAATGATTTTCTCGATAAAGCACCCGTTCCTAAGAAGATAGCACCGTCGTCAGGGCCCGGTTCTCTCCCTGTTCCGAGCCACTGCTCAGGGTCACCGTAAAGGTCGTTGGGAGGAGGCGATTCGGGGTTGTAGTCGCCGAATTTGGAGACAACAAGATCAACGAGCCCTTCCATATTCCCGACTAGTCCCTCGAGTACTGCTCGCTCACCACTGCCGCGATCTTCTTCTCCTACACCAACTCCCAGTTCACCAGAGGATGCGATAGGGATGCCGCCAAAAATGTCGCGGGCCGGATTTCCATGCATCATGACATTCCATGTGGAAAGGTATAGGTCCCAGTAACGGCTCAGTATTGTTATAAACTTGGTTCGTCTGTTACGAACAAAGAGGGCGCTCAGCGAAGAGTCATGATGCATGAGAAAAATGCTATGGGCCCGTAGGAGATCGCGCAACAAAAGACTCGCGGATTTCATCTCGCGACTAGAGTATTCGTATCGTTCTTGGGCGGGCTCGCCCTTCTTCGTAGCGAGCCGAGGAGGGAGTGGTAGCTTGGTCAAGTCGATGCTCTAGTAATTTTGGTAAGCAGAGTGTCGGATTAGGGGGTTCGCATCTCTTACTGCAAGAATCCACCATCCAGGTTCGAGTTCATGAAGCACAACTCTTGACTTTTCAGTGTCGATAGTGTCTACCGTCGAACCGCTGGCGAAACCGCGACTGAAGCTGGCCATGCCCTGGGCAAGACCAATCTGTCGCAAACGCTCATTGCGTTCCTCGGGGGAAATATTCTGGGTGAGTTGACCACGAGTACGCCGTCGCTTGTTATGCGAAGCCTGGGTGGTAACAGAGGCATAGTAAACAATTTGGTCTTCGATGGTCTCGTCAGTGTTGCCCAGTGTGGGGTTGAAGATGGCAAGAAAGCCGAGCTGAGCGGGCACAACTGTCCCTGGTGCTGAAGGAGCAGCCATTCTTGAAAGCTTTGGAACGTCTCGTGTACTGTCGTTCCGTTGGTTTGTGATGACCTGGAGGCCTTGGGTTGTTGGAGTTTTGGGTTGCGCCGGGCTCTTAAACGACTAGTTTCGTCACTGTCAAATAATCCTGACGTTGATCGGCGATCGCAACGTAACGGACTACCTCCAATGAAGTTCCCAATAAGGTCCCAGCGCCTCAAAATAACGGGCGCGGACAATGATACATGAGAATGTAAAATGTAAGAGAGAAGTGGGAAGAATTCAGGGAATGAGGGGAAGAAGAGAGGAGATGTTGTCTTTTCTTTTTGTACGTAGACAGGTAAAGAGAGAGATGGAGAGAGTTAAGCCTAGACCTCTAATAGATGCAGATAGCCTACAGGTATGTAGGTTGTTTGTTTTGTTGTCTGTTCACTATCGGAGGAAAACCCCCGCTATGACAGCCATTGGGCAAGTTCAACGTGTGGAAGTGGAACTGGAGCTGAGGGAAAGTGAGATCACAACGATCGAGATTCAAAATCCCATCTCAATTTCCATTCGGCTGATCCGAAAATTTGGTACAAGGACACCCAAGCCAGCAACTCGACTGGTTGAGTCAAAAGTCTAGGCAGTTTATAGCGCAAGGATTGGCATGCACTTGTAGTTGATCTCGATTCAATTGTGCAGAAACATCGCCCCGCCAATTCTCGAACCTGGGATCAACGTGCAGAATTCCCTGTTTTCTTGTATGCCATGTTCCAGATTTACCCTATTCTTTCGACAATGCCATAGTGCTAGAACAATACCCATGAATTAGACCATCTTTTTAACACCATGCTGTCCCCGGATTCATTTGTAACTAAGCGATCAACCAACCAATCAGCCAACTCCAAAAACACAATTCATCCTTCATCCTTCATCCTCAGCCTAGACCCATTATCTTTCCATCGATTCGTCTTTTCCGCCTCGCCCAAAAACAAACTGTCTTTTCTTGGCCATGGCATACGCCTCGCTCATGCGCTCTCGCTGATCTTTTAAAACTTGCAACGGTGACCTTGTTTGTTCTTCAGCTTCCATGCTATCAGTCCTGGGAAACCCCCATCTCTTGCGCTCCCTCCTCTGGCTACGATCAAAGCTCGAAAACTCGGCCCATATAAAATAGAGAATAAATGTGACAAGTGTCAATGGAATCGTGATAGCCCAGTATAACCTAAACTGTGGTGTAGCCGGAATCCCAATGCCGTGTCCCTCGGCGTTGTCCCAGTCGAACAGGTCAGTCGAGAAAAGCGCAGAGATGAAACTGCCTGGCAGGAAGAACATGGTAACAAAAGCCAACGTCTTCATGGAAGCAGCATCGCGAAGAGTAGATATTGAGATGATGGAGTTGGATAGACTGTAGTTTTCCGATATCAAGTTGTTCAGCTGATCATATTTTGTTAGCTTGTTTGTCTCCCAGTTATCATGGCTAACATACCACATCAATCTGGATTTGAACTCTCTTCAGCGTGTATTCGCGGTCCATAGCCTGCATAGCGAGCCGTCTCTGGAGAACCCCGACATGGTGTCCCATAAGTCCATCTGCCACAGACGTTGTACTTCTTCCCAGACGCAATTGTTCCTGGGCAAGTTCGAGCAGTTTCTGCACCGTCTTGTCTTTCCTTTCTGTACTCGCCAAGCGGACTGCAAAGCCACTCATCTTCGCACTGAGCGGGCCCAGCTCACCTGCTGCGATATGTTTTCGCTTTGTCTTGAAATCAGAGTATCCTGTCCGTGCCTCTATCTCCTGAATGCCCGGCTTCATATTATTCTGCGTTATCTCGATTTCTCCATGAAACATAAATGCAAACAAGAACGCAGGGAATAGTGCATGACTTGCAGTGTTGAGCTGCCATTTGCTCTTGCTCTTGAGAAGCGTCTTCAGGCCTTCCTGCTCTTTATCGCCAGCTAAGATCATACCATAAGTGACACTGGGGCGTGAAGACGGTGGTCTGAAGTAGGTATGCGACCATATAGACGCAAGCTTGGGCGCGTAACAGAAACTGTAGGCTTGCTGGTTGATATCGGGTTTGACGACTTCGGGAAATGCAACCACACCAGCGACACAACTCGAGAAGTAGCTGTATGCGAGTCCAAGGCCAAACTTTTCTAGTACTTGGTCCTTGGTATCTTCTGGTAACTCAACGCGGTTATCGTCAAGAATGAATTTGGGCCAGACAAATCGAAGAATCAGTGACTCTGGGCCCGTTGTTCTTTTTCTCGTTTCTGTGGCCAGCCATAACGCGACTTCAGGTATAGTGACGATCCCTTCATGGTAGTCGACGATTCCGGTGGCATCATTGCACCAGAGCTCACTGTACTTAATGGATAGGATGTCGTGAGAGTGTTTAAGACGTCGAGTGTTGAACTCGGCGATCTTGTGGTATATCTCATCCATGGGCGCAGAGCGTTCGCGTCGCAGGCTAGCGGCTCGGCGTTTGAAAGAAAGCTGTAAGGCTAGATAGCAGCGGTGGTATGTGTACTGTATAGATGGTTTCAATGCGGTTTTTAACCTGAATACGTTATACTATGAAGACATGATCATGAGAAGGACAAGCTGAGGCTGAAGACATTTATTTATTGGAATTGCAATGGCGAACCAAATTGACTGACGCCGCCTCAGCTGCCCATTCCCAACTTCCGAGAGGTAACCAACCTACTGTTTGGGCCAACCATAACCGCCCGAGACGAACCCTTGCTTGACTGGAACTGAGATATCACATCATGAGTCAATACAATTATAATAACGGGCATTTCGTTGGATTACTTTATGTATCATTTTCATCGCTTCTGAGACAAAAACAACTTTCAGTTCGATTATTTTGGTACAAGCTAAAAGCACCGCTGTAATACGGAGTTGAAGCACTAATCTGCACACAGCTTGAATGTCAGCTTCGTGTTCACTGCCACTGGCTGTCTTAGGCCCAAGTAAGGAGTGTCACAAAGCACTGCATTCTGCTTCGAGGATTGATAACCATGATTCATGAGATCAAAAGACTCTGTGTTGGTAAAAGGCAATGAACGTTGTGGAAGCCAATCGCATTTAATGACTACATTTCTAACGGTACAGACCCTTAAATCTTCATTGTGGGTTTGGAGTTCCCCAAGCTCCAGCTTCAGGTTCAATCCGCCCGGGCCGCTAGAACCGCCTGAGCTATGCGGTAGAATTTACCCCGCAGGTCCCCTCTTCAGCGCTTGTCTCAATGTGCCACCGCCAGCTCATGCCCAGCCTCCACTGCCGAATGCAGATGAAGCTCAGAATCACATGCATTAATTAATAAAGTACATCAGACGAATTGACATGAGAAGATTGTGATAAATCAACCGTCAAGACCATGCTAGGATGAGCCTTGTAGATAGTTGACCGTGTCTTTCGGCATCCTTCAGAGCTATAATTATCCAAGAAGACCCTTGTAAATAGACTCATATTTAGGTGTCTACGTCATCCCCAGGCGTCATGGTTGTTCACAACCTAGCATCATCTCACCTTGTATGTCAGCTCCCCCGCCGCTGACCAGACTTCTTCCATTCTCTCTTCCTGCATCATCACAATCGTTCAGCCCTGTCGCATTGTAGATCAACAATTTCAACACCAAATCCATCCATATCCTATCTACCCAGGCCCTTTGGCCCAGAACCACCATCATGGAATCCTTCGGTTTTCTGAAGCGTCGTACCACCGACCTCTTGCAAAATGTGCAGCAAAACCTCCCCGCTATGCCTACCGTACCTTCCATCCCCTCGGCGCCTTCTCCTCAGAAAAAGGCTTCCATCAAAGGAACATGGGAGCGCATTGATGCTCCCAGCGTCCCTCGCTCTTCTCACTCTCTCAACATCGTTCACGGTACCGCTTACATCTTTGGCGGAGAAATCAGGCCACGAGAGCCCGTCGACAATGATATGCATGTCGTGACCCTTCCCTGGTCCAGCGCAGGCGCCGATTACTTCAAGATCAAGGCAGTTCCTGTCAAACCAGACGAGCAGCCGAAGGGAGAGACTCAGCCACCCGCTCAGCCAGAAGCCAAAGAACCAGCCGAACCTGTCGCAAAGTCTGACGAAGAGGACATCGAAAAGAAGCTGGATGAAGTTTCCCTCGAAGAAGACTCCGATTCCTCGGACGAAGAAGAAGAAGATGATGATGAGCCAGTCGAGAGCAAGTCGAAGGGCAAGGAACCCGCTGGCCCGGAGCGCCCGGAATTGGGCAATGTCCCATCCCCACGAGTCGGCCATGCTACCGCTGTCATTGGTACTCGAATCTTCTTATTTGGTGGCCGAGGAGGTCCTGACATGAAGCCTCTTGACGAGGCTGGTCGCGTTTGGGTCTTCGACACCCGCTCTAATACATGGACATACCTGGACCCTGCACCAGCTATCCCAGGTGGTAACATTGTACCTCAGCCCGCCCCTCGAAGCTTCCATTCAGCCACTTCTATCGAGCGACCCCGAGACTTTGCTCCTGCGCGACCTAAAGAAGCTGCGACTTGGGGACAATGGGCTCTAGGTGATACCTCCAAGACGGGCATCCCTCAGGCTCCTATCGTTGGCAATGTAGCTGAAGAGGCTAGAGACGAAGAGTCAGATGGTTACGGCACCTTCTTCATCCATGCAGGATGCCTTGCCAGTGGTGAACGAACCAATGATACTTGGGCTTTCAATGTTCGTGATCGAACTTGGACTGAGCTTCCCGCTGCTCCTGGACCTGCTCGAGGTGGCAGTGCCATCTGCGTAAGCAAGACCCGGCTGTATCGCTTTGGTGGCTTCGATGGCCAGAACGAGATTGGAGGCCAGCTTGACTTCCTACATCTGGAAGTTGAGAGTTTTGACGATCAGGGCACCAAGGGCGAGATCGCAGTTCGCGCACGTGGCGGCTGGCAAATCGTCCTTGAAAGCGACCCTAAGACAGATTCTACCGAGATCCACGCCGAACCAAACCAGGTTTGGCCTGAGCCTCGAAGCGTTGCATCTCTGGAGGCCATCACCTCAGGTGCTGGATATGAATACCTCGTTCTGACCATGGGCGAGCGTGACCCGAGCCCAGAAGGCCATGAGGCTGCAGGCAAGTTCCTGAGTGATGTTTGGGTGTACCAAGTGCCCCCTCTGGGCATGACTGCTGCCAGTGTTACTGCTGCCATGTGGCAAGCTGTCGGTCGCAAGACAGGCGAGGGCAAGTGGACTCAGCTTGATCTCGCACCATATGATGATGATAACGACGACGATATGCCTGAGCCAAGAGGTTGGCTTGCCACTGCGCCCATGGGCGAACTTGAAGAGAGTGGCATTTTGATTTGGGGTGGCCTCGGTGAGGACAACGAAAGACTTGGCGATGGTTGGATCTTGCGAGTAGGCGACACCTAGGTGAAAGAATTAAGGAGAATTCTGGGTTGGATATAGTACTTTTTGGCGCAACATGTTTTTGGCGATCACCACAAATGGACGAATGAAAAAGAAAACGAGACCCTTGTGCAGAACCGATACCTCGTGTAGTATGGGCATTACCGTTAACGAGAACCACACATTTCTATACCAGATATAGCATTTGACATGGTGTTATGTACAATTGTGGCTTCTTCCCACCTAGCACTTTTTGCCTCATTCACCCCAAAGCATTTCTTGCCTTATAACTAAAAAAGAGAGATAATAACGTGATAATTCTACAGATCCTTCCTTGTGGTCTCGGTTGACCAGGGCTCCGAGGTAAGGCTTGTCAGGCCAGCACTGTTCTCGCAGTCTTTTCGACCACTGAGAGGACCAGGCTTGGGGACATTAATAGTGGAAGGATCGGCAGCAGTAGCCTTGGATCGGAGGGCCTTGAGAAGGTCCTTGACGGAGGCGGGGGTAAGGTCCTCGTAGTAGTCGTCGTTAATCTGGATCATGGGGGCGTTGACGCAGGCGCCGAGGCATTCGACCTCGAGGATGGTGAAGAGACCGTCGGCGGTGGTCTGGCCCTGCTCAATGCCGAGCTCCTCCTTGATGGCCTTGACGATAACATCAGAGCCACAGCCTCCAAGTTGGCAAGGGGTCTATACCGTTGTTAGTCTGAACTGTAACTTCGATTTTTGACAATTTTCAATGACGTCTATCCAACATTGCCACAATCCATTCGAGCAATTGTCGCCAAAGAAGATATGTCCAGGTTCGAAATTAAACATACCGTAGTGCAAATCTGGACAAAGTACTTGCCCACAGGAGTTCGGTTGTACATGGTGTAGAAAGAAGCGACCTCGTACACTCGCATGGGAGGCATCTCAAGAAGACGAGCAACCTCGTTCATAACGCTAATGCTGGTAAAGCCGTGCTGGCGCTGGCCGAGGTCAAGCAGAGGCATGACAGCAGCCTTCTTGTACTGGGGAGGGTATCGCTTAAGGATCTCGGCAATGACGGTCTGGTTCTCTTCGCTGAACTTGAAGGGGATGTTGGGGTTGTTGTCCTCGGTGTTTCGATGCTGTCACACGCCATATGTCAGACTGGGGGACATGAAGCAATTGCGCCCTGGGGAAGAAGCGAGAGCCATATTTTCCCAGTAGGCGCAATTGGCAGCGCCAATTGAGGACTACTTACCACCATGAGAGTGTCGCTTCGTCGGCTGGCTGTGAGGGAGAAGGCGGCGCGAGACTGAGGGCGGGCAACCCGGCACGCCGGCCGGATGACGGAGCGGATGAGAGGAGTGAACTTGCTCGCCATTGTGTGAATTATTTTTGTGGTTGTTTTGAGAGCGAGCGAGGTGGGCGTCGTCGCGGGGTTGGGAGTGCTTGTGAGGCGATCGTGAGGTCGTCGGTTCCGGATCTTGTCAAAATGTCGCCGTCGTAGCGAGCATTACAATTCGACTTGGAACTGCTTGCCAAATCAAGATTGATGATTGGTGTAGCTGACCCTAGGTTTAGCCGATCGGGGGGTGGGGTCAAAGTGAAGCTAGGAAAGATACGTATCAACTTGAATGTGGAGGAGTGAGTGTGTTCCTCATTATGTTTATTATATTAAATTCATATTGCTATTTTCTATTTTCAACTATCAATCGTCATGTCTGTTCTGAATGCTTAAATTGTATCTCAGAGGCTTATCAAGAATGGTAGATCTGGCTTGGACTACCATCAGAATGCACTATTGCTACCAGCCTTGAACATATCAAGATGCTTACCATTATAGCTAAGCGCCGTGAAAATCGACAGACTTGAGTAACGAAAGCTCTGCAGTCATCCTCATCAATCGAACGTATACTTTATTAACACATAACATTTCGTTTCTTACACCAACAATATCATAACACGCTATGGAGCCAAGCGAAGTTGGTGCCACCGCATCTTCCTCTGTTCTTGTGCGCGATCTCTCATCTCATACCTCTTGGTACACCTGATCATCAGCGATGTTGTGGCTCGATATAGTTTCAATAGCCTAGCGTACCAAGTTGGCCGGGTCCAACTTGCAGCAAGATGATGCCCGGCGGCTGGATGATCAGTATGCATGTAAGAGATATTGGCAAACATTCGTAGCAGGAAACCAATTAGAAGCACTCTTTTCGATAACACAGGCGGGATCCAACACGTCGATCTGCTCGATATCTACTCGTCGAGAAACCTACGCGAAAGCTTACTATTACTGAAATCATCTTTGTACATGATCCTTCACGTAGGACAAGCGAGGCAATGCATCGTGCTCCACAACGCAATACCGATACTGCTCCAAGTGTTGCTTGACACTCGCTTCCTCACGTACCAGAGCTAGACGACGGCGTACGTAGTCAATACAAGCTTAAAAGGGCATGATATTAAAGCTTCAATGCGGCAAGATACGAGCCCGAGTCAAGGTAACCCTGCGGCGACGGCGCATGGAAACAGAACTTCCCGCTTTCTATCTCGGGAGGCACAATTGCATAATTCGGCTAGAGGCTTGTCTCCTGTTCTAAGACATGGACAATGGATTGGGCGCCCAAGTTTCACAGACGGTCATGTCGTGGCTCTATATGCTCACAGCACGGGACGGCCAATGAGTTGCCCTGTGGTTGATACTTGACGGGATCTGGCGCATACGGACAACGAACAACGATGCTGATATTATTCGTTCCATGGTGGAGGCGAAGCTGAAAAGGTAGGAAGCCGGTGTTGTGATTGCTGAGTTGTCCATCTACTAAAATGAGGGCCTAAATTTAGTCAAGCGCGGATTTATAAAGGCTGAGAATTGGAGTACAGACTGTTCAGTTGTATATATAATATCAAGCCCATTTCATTGACAATTCAGCCGTGGTCTAAATCGAATTGGTTTCATCTTTCCTCCTTCGTGAGTTAAACGCATCCGGTTTACTCATCTCAAACATTGAATCTTAAGAGATCCTTGTCGTTAACTTGGAGCTAGTATCAACCTCAGCCCATTCATCTTAGCTCCCTTTTAAAAGGTAGCCACCGGAAGAAGTGCTCATATCTTTAAATGAACTACCGAAGGAGGTAGGTGGATGGCGCCCCTCCTTCATGGGGCTTTCTTTCAGCTTGGCTTGGCTTAATAGACTCCTTTGAGTTGGTCTCGACTTCCATTCTCCTAACAAAGGAGAGAAAGAAAACACTCGATTATTCCCCAAAGGCTTATTCTATATCTTCAACAGCTGCCTACTTCTACAATACTCGCTATTTGATTTGGTCTTTGACCAAGTTGCCAAACGATTACAACATGCCAATTGAATCACGATTCTCTGTCCAAGTTCCCAACTGCTCAATGCAACAATGGATCTTTGGTTCATCATCAAGTCCATTACCGGACAAGAAAGCCTTTATCGATGCTGATCATCCTCAAGATCGCTACTTTACTTACAACCAAGCTCGGTTGCTTGCGAAGCGTATTGCTGTTGGTCTAATTGACAATGGCCTGAAATCAGGGGACCGTGTGCTTCTCTTTGCTCACAACAGTATCTTCTTCCCCATCATTGTAATGGGTATCTGGATGGCTGGAGGCATCTTCACTGGAGCGAATCCTGGTTATGTCGCTCGTGAACTGGTTCATCAACTGAAGGATAGCCAGGCTACGTTTATCATTTCTGCCCATGGTGCTTTAGGGGTGGCATTGGACGCATCCTCCCAAGTCAACATGAAGCCTTCTCAAGTCTTTGTGCTGGATTCAACATGGCCAGATACTTCTATCGAGATACAACCCTCTAAAGGAAGCAGACACTGGACAGAACTCATCGCAGCCAAGTCAAGGGGTGAGAGTTTCGAATGGACTGAGCCAGAAGACTCCAAGGATTCAATATGCAGTATCAATTACAGCTCAGGTACTGTACGTTGTAACTCACCATCCAACTCAGAGCCATAGAACTGTCTAACCTGGCCATAGACTGGAATACCCAAAGGCGTGGAGATCTCGCACTACAACCATGTCGCCAATAGTCGTGGTGTTACACTCTTCCACCAGCTTCACCCAGAATTTGAGGCTCGACGAGATCATGCCGCTGCTCTATGTTTCCTCCCGATGTATCATGCCTTTAGTCAGGGCTACTTCATCACCAGCTTCCCTTGTGAGCGAGTTCCTGTCTACATCATGCCTTCTTTTGAGTTCCCCAAAATCCTCACCCACATCGAAACATTCCGAATTACAAAACTGTTAGCCGTTCCGCCTATCCTAGTTCTCATCTCAAAACATCCACTTGCACGCAGTGCGGACCTCAGTAGCATCGATATGATTGCATCTGGTGCTGCGCCCCTGGCGAGAGATACACAACGTGAGATAGCCGGCATGATACCCCTGGGTGAAGCCGTTGTTCGGCAAGGCTGGGGAATGACCGAAGCAACTTGTACTGCACTGTCGTGGGACCCTAATAAGGCCCCGAGCTCTGCGGCCGGCGAACTGACGCCGGATTCTCAAGCTAGACTGGTCGATATCGAGACTGGAGACGAAATCAACACTGCCAACACTCCTGGAGAGTTATGGATCACGGGGCCCACGGTGACCCGCGGCTACTGGCGTAATCCTGCTGCGACACAAGAAGCCTTTGTTGTCGACTCGGATGGTACTCAATGGCTTCGCACTGGAGACGTCGCTTATGTGGAGGAATATGCAAAGGGAACTCTTTTTCATATTGTGGATCGTGTCAAAGAACTGATCAAGGTCAAGGGCATGCAGGTTGCTCCCGCTGAACTCGAGTCCCTTCTTCTTGAAAGAGAAGATGTCGCCGATGCCGCTGTTATAGGGGTCGTTATCGATGGTGAAGAGCTTCCACGCGCCTATATCGTCAAAACGCCACACGGAAAGGATACATCCAAACAGGATATTGCAGACTGGCTAGCGAGTCGCGTTGTCAAGTACAAGCAACTTATGGGTGGCGTAGTCTTTGTTGATTCCATCCCCAAAGTTCCTGTAAGTTATTTCGATCCCCTTTTTGGTCAGACGATGCATCTTTGAAGCTCACATACGAATAGTCAGGCAAGATTCTAAGAAAAGTACTTCGTGAGCGAGCAAAGCGCGAAGTTAGCAACGGCCTTGAGGTGCGCGCCAAGCTATAGGACAGCGGCGGCGATGGGTGCGCATGCTAATCTTTATCGATCACGATTCTCAATTTCAACACGCCTGAGAACTTTACGGTGTCCGATAATTCGATGAAGAGCAGAGGTCGCTCTTTTACTCATTTGTTCAAGGTCATTTGCTATGAAGAAGTTGGAAGGGAATTGACATACATCAACAACAAATTTGCATGGATTTCCGTCAACGACGAGACATACTTATTTCGAACTAGACATCCTATTGTACAAGTTGTAGCATTTCTTTATACAACCATCATCATATGTTAACCTGTTTCTCTACAGCGAGATTCATATGCCAAGTTCAGTCACCAATCATCATCATAACCTCATCCAGTAGTGTCGAGGGAATCTCCATGCTTTTGGCTCTGTCAGCTCTTCCTTCATCAATCCGATACTGAGCCGGCAAATCCACACCATTATTGATCCCCAGTATCTCCTGGGCAACTGCGATTCCACATCTTGCCGCTACGGGCATGCCATGGCCTGTATATCCGACGCTAACATAAATGCCACTATCTTCACCGCCTAGAGCTGCGGGTAGTTGGCCAACCCAAGGATAACCATCTCTTGAATACCCCATGATGCCAGTCCACTCATATGTAGCTTCAAGAGTAGCGTCTTCCACCTCTCCCGGTGTCTTTAGCTTGACAGCGGCATGAAGCGAAGCACGCAAACGTTCAGCGATGACTGGATCGATCGCGTCATCACGAGAGAGACCAACTTGGCCATCAGATGAGCCTAGCCTCTCACCGCCACAGATAAGTTCACCCGAAGGTCGCTGGACGAGATAGTTGTCTCCTCCCACCGGCGTCCACCAAACGTGGCTATGTTCAAGTGGTGAGCTTCCGCTTGAGGGGGTGAGAGCAGCAATTTGTCCACGAACAGGGACGATGAGGCCAGATAGCTTGGGGAGGAGGTGTGAAGTGTAGGCGTTGGTTGCTAGGATAACATTCTTGGTTGCTATCTGACCACGAGGTGTGTTTAGAGTCCAGGAGTCGCCTGTACGTTGGATGTGGTCCACGGGCGTCTTTGTCTGAAGGTTGAAAACACTAGGGTCATTCGCTTCGAGAAGTTGCTCAAGAACCCAGCAGATAAGCTTGTATGGCCACAGCTTGGCTGCGTTCGGTTGGTACATTGCAGCATACGCCCCCGAGACACGTAGTTTCTTTAGCTCCTCCTTGTCTGTCACGATCTTAATCTTGTCGACCAAATTAGGGTGGGAGGTTCTCAAACGCTCCAGGTGCTTGGCCACAACTTCCAGGATCTCCTCAGAGATACGGTGCACGCCTCCGACTGTTTCCCAGTCACAGGAAATGTTATTCTCAGAAACAAGGTCCTTCAGAAAGTTGAACGTGTCCAGTTCGAATTGGGCTACTGGTGGTTTAGCAGCGTAGATGAAAGGTTGACAATGACCACCGTTCTAACAAGTTGAATCAGTAATCTTGTAGTATATGCCCGTTGTCAGATGAAACTCACCCTTCCTGTGGCTCCCCAACATGCTTCTCTTGCTTCAAGAAGCACGATATTCTTGCGCCCTTCTTTCACAAGCTCTCTCACCGCGAATGTACCAGTGATACCACTTCCCACAACCACGACTTCAGCAGTTGGAGGCAGGTCTGCCGTACTACGATGACCCAAGAGCTTCTCTGATGGCTCTTTGTGCCAGTACGATTTTGTGCTGTCGACACTGGGTAACTCGGCCTGACCTTGGAGGAGCTTAGGGATCATCATTTTTGTTTTGAGTAGGTAATTGCTTTCAAGAATAGAAATGTATTGAGGAGGTACAGTCACTTTATTTTGTTGTTGTGCTCCAAGACTGGTTGATATAAGTCAACTCAAAGGGACATAACCCCGCCTTGAACGGTAATTAATAATCGGAGGGCGCTGTTCAGATTACGTAGATCTCCCCTCCAACTTTTCCTATCAGATATGTAGACTAGATAGATGGAGAAGCTAGATGGAGAAACAGCATGATAGATAGGCCGATAGGACGTTGTAACGCTATCAGCTTACTAGTTTAGGTCCGGATACATACATGCGTTCATGTCAAGTACAGCAGCAGCAATTGATAGTTTTGTTGTGAATTGATCATATGATATTCATGCCATTTCGTCGTTAGAATCATCAACAACTATCAGATCGGCTTCCTCCATCCAGTAGCCCTTTCAATCCATAAAACCCCTGCGTCGGCAGTTGGGCTTAAAGTATCGTTCCCCTCCCATGCGTGCTCACGGGAGCCATTACTATAATTTACAATATTCCATCCTTCCTCTCCAATGCAGCAAATCTTTGCAACCTGGTATAATGCGTTCGCTGAGACAAATCGTCTCTTGTGGCCCTTCCACATGCTTTGTTCTGTGCTGTGTCTCCCCTTTCTCTACTGAAAACCATGCAGAGATATGTCGAAACCTTTAATTATTACTCCCCCCCAATATGCGCTGTAATCATAGCATGGTCTAGTTCCATCCGGGGTATTTCGTACACGCGGTCTCGCTTCGGAGACGGCAAAATATTCAAGCCACGTTGATGAGAGGAGCAACTATGTGTTCTCGCTCTCAAGTGGCGGACAAATGAAAAGTTGGTAGATAAAAAGAGTGTGGGTTCAGGATGGTGTCGTGTTGCGCTTAGAAAACGACAGGCTCCCGGTTCGAATGTTGTATATCCGACTCAATAAAAACGCCAGGTAAACAACTCCCGCTAACGACATCCATTCCTCATGGTATTCGTATCGTATCATAGTAACAATTGATGTGGACAACATCAAAAGCGCATAATTTTGTAACAAAAAGTTTCTCGTTTGCAGAACTCCAGTGGTATCCAGAGTCACACGCGGTGGGTATATCCTCCTTAGACATCCGTCATCTCTGTGTCGCTGTCGCCGCCCTCTGCGATTGATATTTCGGAGATGGGGAACATGTCGGCTGGTCCCCAGTTTCCTTCGTAAACAGTAGCCGGTGCGGCGCGCTGGTGGCTGATCCACTGCATACCCTCTAGTTGAAGGACTTGGTGCACAGTTGGCCGTTCGCTGGGCTCCTGCGCTGTCATCCATCGCACAATAGAATCAAGCGAGCTAACGTGCATGGGATTGACCATGAAGTCGGGAGGTTGCTGTAGTTCCGATCGCTTGTAGGAGCCAAACAGGTTGCTTGGGTCATGGGTCTTGTCACTAGCGAACCCGTCGCTGACCATTCCCTCGGTAGGGTTACCAGTCGCATCTCGTTGAACCTCGATTGAAGGGTTCCAGGTTAGACTGGGTACTTCGGAGAGATCACCGGAACGCAGAGCAATCCAAGTAGGTCCGTTGTCAGGGAGGACTACATTTGCTGCGGTCTCGAGGATGATGAGGCCCAGAGAAAAGACGTCGGCGGATTGGCAGGATTTGCCCTTGAGCATCTCGGGAGCCATGTACTCACGATCACCCTCAACGTCAACACCCTCAGCAGATGAGCATGATTGAGCCAGACCAAAGTCAGCGATCTTGAGAACGCCTTCAAAGGTGACAAGGATGTTTGCCGGCTTCAAGTCCAAGTGCATGAAGCCAGCGTCGTGGATGTCCTTGAGACCCTATGATCCAGTTAGCTTTGTACAGAATGCAACGTGAGTCAAAGTAACTTACCAGGCAAAGGTCCTGAAGGATCTTATAGATGCGGAAGTCATCCAATCGACCTCCCCGTCCAACATTGCCCAAGAACTTGTCGAGGGTGCCCTCCTCGCAGTACTCAGTCTGGATGTACAGATGATAGTTGTGCTCCCAGTTGTCAAAATACTGTACCACATGCTGGGAGTGGCTCAAGGCCTTGAGAATCTCCGCCTCTCGGAGCTTGGTTTCCCGATCCCTGGGTCCTTGGAAAGGTTGCTTACTCTTCTTCACGGCAAATACCTTTCCCTTTGCGGGGCTCTTTGAGGGAGTTGCGATGAGGTCATCGAAGGTCATCTGCTGTTGGTCCACTTGAGTGACTCGGTAGACAAGCGAGAATTCTCCCTTTCCAATCTGCTCAACCTTTTCAAACCGTGATGACAAGCTCACGTCAAGATCAACGTTGCTGGTGCGGATATTCACGGGGGTAACAAGGAGGCTAGTTGAGGACCTCAAATCTCGGCCTGCTGTTGGGGTTACGGGAGGCGCCATGTTGTCAGAAAAGGAGTCGCCAGCCTGCGAAATTGACAGTCGGCTGGTATCGAGGGGAAGCAAACTCTCACGAGGTGTTTGCGGTGTTCTTCGTCCATCAAGAGGGCTCGCTGATACAGAAAGTTTCGATTTAGTAAATGTTTGAGTAGGAGAGCTTATGGAATGACGCAAAGAAACTGTGTTGAGTGGAGAAGGAGAGTGTAGACCTCGACGAGCCCTGGAACGGCTAAGCGAAGACAGAGGGAGGTGCGATGATGGTGAATACAAACACCCAGCGCGGAGCGGTCGACTTGAATTGTCGATTGATCCTGCTGAAACGTTCGGTGCTGCCGAGTCCGACTTACAAGTTGCTTCTCGAGGAATTGGGTTACCGAAGATGGGCGTAGGGGCGTGGAGGATACGATTCGCGGTTGGGCTGTGGTTGTCCTGAGGGCTTTCGAAAGAGTGCTCGCTAACCTTGCTAAGGCTGGGAGTAAGAGTATTCTTGGTCGGGGTTGGAGGAGCGTCGCCCTCCATTGGGGTGGAGAAGTCAAGCGTGTCATTAAAAAGATTGTTCTCGTCGCCATCGAGACTAAGGACGCTACCGCGGCGTGCACCCCTAGAAGCACTGCGTTGGAAGATAGACATGCCCTTACCAGGCCTACTGAAGGGGTTAGAGTTGGTACCCTGGACGCCGCCATTGCTGAACGGTGTTGAGGGAATTCCGCCAAAAGAATTTCGGTTGTTAACCCTCTTCTTCATGGCACTCCCGGCTGGTGGAGGGAAAGTGGCGAAAGGGTTAGAGTGCTTCTTGCACGGTGTATCAGGAGGTGCCATCTTCTTGTCTGCATCCTCCTCGGGATTTCGGTTGACCTTGGAAATCAAACCAGTAGAGTTGAAAGCACCGACCCACAGATGGTTCTGGCTAGGCGTCGCCATAGCCCTGGCCATATCATTGGGACGGGTTGGCCTTGTTGCATTGAGGGGCAGGGAGCGTGAAAAGATGTGAGATTTAGCTGGCACCCTGGCAACAGGAGCATACATGGGCGTCTCCTCAGTGAGGCTATTGCCTGAAGATGATGTCGTCAAGGTCTTGGACAACGGATGGGGTTGATGTCCCTTGTCGACCGCGAAGATAGGGGGCTTCGAAATAGGCGTAGTTGATACAGGTGTGTGCTCGTAGCCCATATCAGCACCTGCGAAGCCAGGCGGTTGCGAGGTGGGTGTAGTAGATAGTGGATTAGACTCATAGTCAACATCGGTGATAAAAGTAGGTGGTTTCGAAGCTGGTGTTGTGGACGCAAAAGGACTCTCTTGAGGTACAGCAGGAGGGACAAACTGGTCCTGAGAGAGGCGTGGGCGACTTCGGACAGGGGAGTATTCGGCGCTCATCTGAGCTAGCTGTCGCTCGCCAGACCTTCTGCCCCAAGAACCCCGCTCCCCGTATCTTTGTTGCAGGGTCGACTTCCGCAAAGACGATGACCTCTTGGGTACATTGCTGTTTGTAGGTGTTGGGGAAGGGACCGGGTCCCGGAATGGCGACCCAGTAGTGCCCGCAATCTCATACTCTGTAGATGCATCCTCGTGGATAAAGAAGCTCTGCGACGATGTTGTGTTGGAACCAAAGACGTTCTGGTCCTCGTTCTGGCCCAGCACCGAGATTCCATGCAAGCTACGACGCTTAGCCACTGGGCTTTCCTGGCTCGGCTGGTCCAGATTCATAGTCGCATCGCTGCGCTTCAACGATCCATTATTGGGAACCATTTGGAATTCGTAGTGCCCGTCAAGGGACTTGATAAATGCCGTTGGCGAAGATCCAGGTGCTTCGAGGTGAAGGTTACTTCGCTTCTCGGGACTCACAGTCAGAGGGCTTGTGGCTCCGAGCGCGTTGTTCTCTTGTCCTGTAACGTCGATAACAGAGGGCGCGGGCATGGCGGGTAAAGAATTGCCACTGTCGGGTGCGGTGTTCAGAGCCCGCTTCAGAGGACTCCTTGGCGACGTGCGGGTTCTTGTCAACTGTCTCAAGGGAGAGGTCTTTCCGGCTTTGGCGGACCTTAAGGAAAGTCGGACGTTGGGGCGGAAAGGCGTGAAGGCGGGGTGAAGGATACCGTTGTTAGGTGGTGCCGACCGCGTATGTGACGGTAGAGTGTGTTGGTTTTGAGGCGTCGCGCCAAATCGACGGCAAGGCGATTGGGAGGGCGATTGAGGTGATGTTTGGTGGGGGCTCTCGGGGCTCAGCGATTGCGGACTGGAGCGCGTCAAGAACTTTGAAGGTGATCGCGAAATAGATCGTCGTAATGTGCGAACTGCCGATGTGACGTCGATGTGGTGAGCGTGTGTTGGCGATGGTAGGGCGATTGTGCCACCACTGCTGTTCGAGAAGGACATTGTGAGGTTGCGAGATGATGCGCGCCCGTGATTGTCGCGAGCCGGTAAGTGGAGCAAGGCCGATGCGATGTAAATAGTGAAAGATATCAGGCCTTATTGTTGTCTAATGCCGGTGCGAGGTGAATAGAAATATTCGTTGAACAATGCGGTAGGGAAAAAGTAAAGGTCACGGTCCCCGATTGTTGGTGGTGAAAGTGGGATGCGACGAAACGAAACGGTAGGTGCTGCATCAAACGGCGAAATCGAAGATGTGAGAAGCAGCTCGACGCGATACCCTACAAATCGCAAATAGCTATGCCAGTCTCACTCGGACGTCAAAGGTCATATCATGACTCGACTACTAGATTTGTGAAATCAAGACGCTAAATGAGATAGGCAGACGTGTAAAGCGCAGGCTGCAATCGAGATGGTTCCGAACGGTGATGAATCGACAAGGCAGCAAGATAATCGCGGGCCGGGTATAAGTGTCGTGCGTTATCGCGAATTAATTAAATACGATTTGTTTGTCGACAAAAAAAACAAAAAAAAAAAAAGGTGAGGTTTATAGAGAAGAGAGGTTGGTAGAAAGTTGGAACTACTATGCAGTTGTAGAAGTATAGTAGTTGTAGTTGTAGTAGTGTGCAGCAGTGTCGTGTTTCGTGCAAGTTGAATTGATTTGGGGGTGGGCGGGTTCAAGAGACGTAAAGTAAAGTACCTTTAGTATGAGTGGGTGGCAGTTGGGGCCATGGCGCTGGCGGGCTTGAGCATGGGTATGTGTATGGATGGGTCCTGACACAGACTAAAGAAGCTGTAAAAGACCAGACTAAAAAGCAAATCGTTTCTCGCTTGTCTCTCCTGCCTTTCTTTTCTGTCTTTGTTTTGTGGGTTGTAATAGTGTAAGTACAGAAAAGACCCCTCGTTAAAACCAAAAGAAAGAAAGAAAAGAACCCTTTCCAGGGAACGTGGATATTCACAACGGGGGTCTAGTCTTGTGACTCAGATGACAAGGTCGAAATGACAACGAGTGGTTGTGGACAGGTCAGGCTGGTATGCACTTGTCTAAAAGTTGGTGCAGAATTGATTGAACTCGAGGAGTGAGAGACCTCAAGGAGGGCGTGGGATAGGCTCTAGAGCGGGTAGAGAGGAGGGGGAGGGACCAGAGGGGACCTGAAGGGCGAGAGACAGATGGCTGAAAGTGCAGAGGGAGGGTCCTTGTTGGGGTATGGCATGACCTAGGTTAGGGATGGCGCGTGTTAAAGAAAAGGTTGGCGCAGGCTGGCAGTTGGCGGATCTTGGTGCACGCCCCCGTAAAAACTGCAGTAGCGCAGTGTGTGTTAGTGGTAAGGCCCTCTGCAGTGGGGAGTTTTTTGCCCGTGTAAACGCTGAACATCTCCATATCTACTCCTCCTTCAGTCAATACACAACAACGTCCCTTTGATGATATCAATAAATCAAACAAAAGGGCGAAATAATCAGCAAACTATCATCATCTACGCAATAAAAAGGGTCAACACGCGTCATTACGTGGGAGGCAAATTTTTAATACTATGTACCCTCGTAACAGATATCTCCGTCATCTTCAGATGCGGAAAAACAACAAACTAGGGCAGAGGCGCGCTACAAGTGACGCATTTGTTTACACGGTTACCCAAATGGGAAATATCGCGTCACTAAAAGACGCGTTTTGTCTAAACAAGGGGTACGAGAATAACAGACACTGACACTATCACACCCTTCACCCCTTGTCAGTTCAAGGCTTCTTAACAAGGATAGCGTCGGGAGCTGATCCCCGTCCGCCCATGTTCCATTTCAAGCCTCTTCTACTTACAAAACTACTCTACAACGTGCACCTCTGCTCGGTATCTCCAAAATTTAGGAGTGTAATAGCCCTGATCTCTCTGTCTCATCGATGATGGCACATCCGTCAAGACAATCACATTCCGTTCATCATATCCAACGTAGATATTACGTCCTCTTGAACTCTTCAACCCAAACACTTTCTCCTCGTCATAGTCTTACGTAGGTGCTATACAGCACTATACTCTACATACAGTACTGTAGTTAGGTCAAAAAGCTTCTCCGATACATAACGACGATCAGCGATCGTCAGGGAACAGCACGTTGTTTTTCTACGACGAGACATTCCCGTGCACAAGCTTGGGTTGCGCTAGGACTCTCTCTGTAAGTGAGTTCTACGATAGCTAGTCGGTGGTTCCTGGATTCCATCTCAACTAAGAAGCATCTCATCTAAGTCTGTAACAAAGGGCTGAACATTAATCATGGACAATGCCGTGCATAGTCTTGCCGGGAGAGGCTGACAACAGGTGCTAACTACCTATTACTGACCGTCTGGCTCTTTCAGACTACCAGCACAGTTGAAGTGAGAAAATCTTCTTTCAGAGACTGACATATAAGTCGAGACGTCCAAAGCCCTGTCCTCGCTTCTCCCAGGTGCTCCACTGGGCGCATCCCAGCGCCAGCGCTCGCTCAGGGGTACTCCCGTCCATGAGGCGGCTGGTGGCCTTCAGACTCTTGTCAAGCCATTGTAAGCCACTCTTTACGACCTTTTGACAGACCCAGGGGACTCTTTTTTGTTACTTTCCAGCCAGCCGCCAGGGGCTGACGCCCGTTTAAAAGGTCGCATACAAGTAGAGCATGGCATGGTATGGGATTTCGACGAGATAGGACAAGATCGTGATGAAATAGCATGAGATTTATTGTACTCAAGCCAAAGAATCGAGCGCTTCTGCTGGTCTGTCATGCGGTCGCAGATAGAGCATGTATCTAACTGTCTAAGGCATCGAATGTACCTACAGAAGACGCTGGAACGGCCCCCAAGTCCAGATGGAAGCTTGCAGGAAGCAAGCAAGATACGATGCGATGGGGTTAGGCTTGGATGGGGTTTGGGTAGTGTTAGGGGACTGGCTGGGCTTGCCTGGTCCGTGTCTGATGTCCACTCGTTCGCTGGTTCCCGTCTTCTTCAGACCACTCAGCGTCATGATCGTCGCCGTCACTTGTTGATGGGCATGCTCCATCCTGGATGTCTGTACTCGAGGCAGTACTGTACGAGGCGAGCGATGGAGTACAGTGTAGATGTGTTGTGTTGTACAACACAGCGTGTACAACCCGAGACAGCGTCAGCCTGGCCAAATAAGGCATCTACTGAAAGGGCATGAGAAGCCTTGGTCTTGATCACAGCAAGTTTTCCATGCCAGTCAGTCCCAAAGATAACCGCTCAGTGGCCTTAACCAGAAGCTAGGGCACCTCTTCAGGTACACAGACACACACACACACCAGCAGCAGCATCCCGTCTATCCATCCCATCTCATGGGGATCCCCAGTTCCAGGTCAAGTGTATCAGCCTCCCGATACGCCGGGCCTACCCATGACGCGCAGCAAATCTCCTCGATCAAAACAAACAAAAACGGTGGATGAACGGCCACGGGCCCCCCCTATTTTCACTATTCCCTCTTGTGTACTCCTACCGTACCCGCTGAGTCTAGCTGTGTTAATTTGGGTCTTTAAATTGTGCTCTTTATGCCAGCCCTCTCGTGTCATTTCGCTTCTTGTGCGAGAGTCTGGGGTGGCCCCCTGCCATATGCGATAAGTACATAGTAATTCACGCTAAACAATTCACTCGTGTGTGCGTTTGCGAGTTTGTTGGCCTGCGTGTGGACGAGAACAGCAAAAAAGCCCTGCTCATGAACTGGGACCGTTCTGGTGTGTTATCGTATCAGAGTCACATATAGAACTTGGGATGTTTAGCAGCGTCCCCTAGTTAAGTCTGGACACCCAACCAAGTGAGTTAGTTTGCTACTGTTGTATTTACTTTGAAAAACCGTCTACCAATCAATGCCCTCGTTCAGCACATGACGGCTGTCATGGCTACTCTTGGAGATGCTCCGTGCTTCTCGATCGAACGTCTAAATCGGACTTACACTGAGCATGAGATACAAGTCACTTCTTATCCTTCATCTATCTACACAACTAACCATGCATCGCACGTACATATATATGTATACTAACACTATGCTGCACATGCCCCGCGCTCGCATATTTTGCACTAGGCAGGGTTATTAACAGGCTGTGCAGCATCTAAACTAAATAGGCCAGATTGTTGACCGCTTGACTTGGTTGCATATTTTTATGGGACATCGGCTGCAACTAGGAGGCTGTTGAAGCACACCGCACACAAGTCTCCGGCTCTATAAAAGGGAACCCCTATGCAATTCATATTACAAAGGGCCGCTGCAGCCAGAGCAGAGGCCGCTTACACGGCGTCTGTCCTATCTTCAGAATGTCTTCAGCCCCTATCTACGGGCTGATTCCTGCAGGGCGTAACCGTTGTCATGTTGTTGCGATGCAGTCAACAACGGTTGTTATCCAACATGAAACGAACCAACAATTAGTTACAGCCTGCACAATTTCATATAGTAGAAGACGCTAAGATGCGGGCATAACGTGTATCTATGTGCCAGACCGTCCGTCGGCCGTGCATAGAAACCGTCAAGAACTGAGCCAGCCTGACACCCAAGCGCACCGTTTTCCGAAACCGAAAACGCACAAAAAACACCATGACGCAAAGTGGCTTGATCTTGCCGGGGCCTTTCACTACGGCCAAGTAGACTTGGATTACCCTACATGCCAAATTCTGTGATTTGCTGTCATTTGGGGGTCTTGGGATGGGGATTCAGACAAAAACCGGCTGGCCTCAATAACGGGCCACGCTGGCAATGCAAACGCATCCCATTCGACTCTTTGGTTGGTTACTATCGTGTAAACTCGACGTAGCATTGCTTCAAGTGGACTCGGTACAGAACTGGCACTGCATGAGCATAGGCCAAAGTATTTGATTGGACAATTGGACATCACGTTCGCAAGGGAGAAGGCGAGGGGTAGCTTCAACACCAGCTGTAGTGTAGTCTTCAGGTGAAGTCTCATCTCATATGCACCTCCTCGTGAAGGGAGGATCGAGATGAGCGATATTTTGCATGCCATTGCAGCTGACGATCTTCAGCAAGCGCATCATCATCACTGCATCCCATTGAAGCATCTCAGTCATCACGTTGGACTTCACCAAGCCACAATCCGCGGACATTAACCAGCTTATCTTGCCCGAAGTTCTCGGCAAAGACATAGCAGGGAACAAGAGTGAGACGGCTGAGATACCGACGATCTAGTAAAGTTCCATCTTCTCGAGATGAATGAGGCCATTCGGTGGCTAAACTTAAGTCAGTGATAGAGTTCCCCAGGCGCCACGCCATGATAATTTGTGATTATCATTCAGGCTTGTTGTAGAAAGGGGTTCCATGTACTTACTGGTATGAACTGTCTCAGCTTCACGCCCGCCTCCCTGAACACCCGAGCTGTAGCAGTGTCCATGCTGTATGTGTGGGCGTAGACAACCTCACTGATGCCCACTTGACAAATCTTGATACTGCATGTGAGGCAGGGACACGTGTCGCAGTAAAGAACCGAACCCTCCCGTATCCTCTCCCGGCCGGCTTCCAAAAGGGCATTTTCTTCGGCATGAATGCATAGACAAGTCGACAAACCCACTCCTGAGCTGTTGCCATCATTGCATCGTGGGCAGCCTCCGTCAGCACAGTTCTGTAGTCCTCTCGGAGTTCCGTTATAACCAGTGCTGATGACCCTACGCTCTTTTCCCACGAGCACGCATCCAACTCTACGCTTCATGCAGTTAGAGCGCTGAGAAGCCAGGGACGCCAATTCCATAAAGTAGGTATCCCAGCACGGACGTAGACGATCAGGGTTCGGAATATCCAGCTTTCCAAGGGTCGCGTAGAGGTGCGCTAAGGATGATGAGGTGTTGAGAAGTCTCACGACAGCACGCGAGATGAGGGGAGACAAGCCCTTCTGAGCATCGTATAAGTGGGTATCACTCTCTGCGACAAAGTCTTCCAGGCTCATGTCAGGCTGTCCCGCGCGCCTCTGTCTTGCGCGCTCTTGAAACCGGCGCCAGCGGACCGTCAATGGTGCGTCAACCGAGAGGAGCAGGAAGAAGGGACGACGGAGGAAAACATCGAGAGCAGCCTCTGTGGGAATGTCGGTGGTGACATAGCGGCTGCGCCATTGCTTGGTAACAAAGTCGAGAAGTTCCTCAGGTGTGGAAAAGACATGCTGCGGACCAGCCCGGAGGGTCAGTGTGGTTTCAGAGGATGAATTGTAGCCATTATTGGTGGTGAGCGCAGCGGAAGTTAGAGCGCCTTTGAAGGCTTCTGAGTCGTTTGATTGGGACTGCGACAGAGATTCAGTGCCGTGACCGTCAGAAGAAGCTGATTCTGGACCAAGCGAGGAATTGGAAGGCGCTGTCTGCGATGATGGCTGAAGATAGAGGTGTTTGAAGCCATGGTGCTCAACCAGATATTGGGCCACCGTCTTTTTGCCGGAGCAGATACCTGGGTTTGTAATGTAAGTTTATGAGCTTTGTTATATGGACTTTGAGGTAATTTTACTTCCGCAAACGCCGATGAGCATTTTGTGAGGTTTGATGAGTTTATTTGATGTCCGTTGTTTAAAAAATTAAGAACAAATAGACGATTTCCCACCTTGAGATTTCTGCATGGCCATTTAACGCGTGGGCAAGTTCTATAAGCGCGTCTCATCCTATGAGTGTGGGGTAGCTTGTGGCAACCGTTTTCAGCTCTGTTCTTCTAGAAGGTCGGCCGAACTTCGAAAACGGTATCTCTCTACCTTGCAAGCGGCCGACAGAAGACGTCTGTCTTTGCATCAGTCCATCTTACGATTTTATCGTTTTGTCTCAGTCCATGATCTCGATCTAGCGTAACGGTATATATATAGGCACTATATCTGCGTTCCAGCTGTCCCGAGTAAAGGATGTTGCCGAAATTATATCAGACACAAATCTCTTTAGTAATAAGATGGAGAGATTGTCACATTCTTGTGGTGAACGGTGGAAATAAATCTGAAAAAGGTGTAAACCGTGAATCTACTAAGAGTGTGGTTGCAATGAGATTGCATCACTTGTAGCTCGGGGTGATGGCAAATTGTCCGTCAAGGGGTCTTTGTTTATGCTTGACTTTAAGAATGGGATTTTAACAATTCGATCGTTGCTGCAGTATTTGTGTTGTGAGGGTATCACTTGTATGCCAACTCATATGACTTGCAGTTCCTTGTCATCGTGGTAGGAAGAAAGGTACAAGCCTAAAGCTAAACTAAAAGATATAAACCATTATAAACCTCCACTAAAGCCATTATAAATATGACCCTTAACTAATGTCTTAATATGCTCTTATAAAAGTACTTAAACAGTTGAAAAGAGTTTAATTGCTAAATTTGTTACCCTTGAGTTGACAAGGTTTAATATTGCCGTTGGGAACGTAAGAGATGAAATTAGTGGGTCAGTTTATGCTACTTAGGCCACACTTCTTAGAATACCTGTTATGCGTCCTTAGTCTAATCATTTACAATCGTCTAGATAAGTTCTCCTTCGCCGTCGTCCACAAGGTCATCATCGTCCTCTTCCCAATCAACACGACCTGCCATTTCCTCTGCTTTTCGCTGGACTTCTGCCAAGCCCGAGAGCTCTGCCACATATTCTTTCTCTTGCAATGCCCTCTTCACGAATCCCCAACCGTCATGGCGATAGGCATTGAGGATCTTGGGGCTACATGCGCTACAGCAGTCGTAAGACTGGCCACGAATGACAATTTGCTGAAACGTCGAAGTATAGCCTCTAACCTGATGAGGAACAAGTCCCAAGGCATGATCGGGAGGGTCTCTCTCTGGAACTACTCCTGAAGTTGGCTGTGGAGCAGGCGCGTCTTTACCAAGGGGGTGTTGCAACAAGCTTGTCAGAAGTTCTACCAGAAGAGCAGAGGCGATGGGTGCAACTCCAGGACGGGTAACGGTACATTGTTGGTCCAGAGTCTGATCCTTTTGTGACTAAAAGAATGTCAGTCGTGAAAGTGAAAGTACAGATCAAAACTCACATCTGCTGGCGCAACAACATCATTGCAGAAGTAGCAACCCAGAGGTGTCTGTCCTTCAGGACTGCTCTCGGTACCATGTCGCATAACAACGTATGAATCAAATCCTAGCGCAGCATTCATGACAATCTTGCCTGCGGCCTTGCCCATAACAGTTGGTAGCCATCGTGATTCTCTAGAATCCATAAGTAGGAATATGGCGTCGTGCTCGTTGATAAGCTTCTCTAGCTTCTGGTAGTCTTCTTTTGTCTTGCCTTCGTCTGTGAAAGGATGTCCAAGCATGGGAACGGATAGCGCGTGTCCCTCACTGTGGACGCCAGGATAGATTTCCTTCAGCGCCTCAGCCGCTCGAAGTGCCTTGGGTTTTCCTCCTTCAAGACAATCGTTAAAGTTAAACAGCGGCTGGCGCACAGGATTGGAAAATGACACTCGGCCGTAATCCACAAACGTAATCTTCCGAACGCCCCAGCCCATCAGATTCCTCGATACGTAACTTCCCAAGGTGCCGGCGCCCAGGAGCAGGCACTTTGTATTCTTGATGGTTTCTAGATTCAGGTTAGGAGCAATTCTCCATTTCATGAGCTTCAAATTCAGATCAACTGAACTATCGGCTAGTCGTGCTGGATCCATGTACTCTCCCAGGTTCACTTGTTGCGCCTGGAGCTTGCCATTGCTTGACCGAGCCCAGCCAGTAACTTTGGGCATTTCGGTAATATCCAAGTTCTCGACAGGGTCCATCTCGATTGGGAGAATCAAGCTCTTCGCCTCATGTCTCTTTGCCCAAGTATCACGGTAACATATAACTTTGGTCTTGGTCAGGCGGAAGCGATGTCGGATGAGAATCAAGAAGTTTCGTAAAGGCCATCCGGGCGCCTCTGGGTATGTAGAAGGGTCGGTGAATGCCACATAGCGATCTTCTTCAGGCACCTGGTCAAAGAAACCAGTTTCAAAATCGCGCAGTGAGCCAACTTCCCAATAGAAAGGGAGCTCCTGGGGAGTGTCGGGATCATCGGTCTCCCGTCTTCCGGAGACCTTCTTTGCCAGGAAGAAACCACGCTCACGAGTATCGACACTGTATCTCCAAGTCCCAACTCTGTCGACTAGAGCTGTGGTTTCCTGTGAGGTTAAGCGTTCGATTGGGCCTGACCGTTTCCATACAGGATCGGAATGCAGGGCTGGAAAAGCAAACCAGTATGTGAACTTGTACTTTTTGAGGTCGGCATAGGAGAGTATAATAAAGGAGGACAGGAGGGATGGAACAGAGTAGATACTACCATCTTTGATCGCATCCCATACCTGATAGTGTTAGTTAAACCCATATCCTTGATGAGGTGGGGAAGAAATACCTGTCGACCAGCGGTCCTCAGCATGGCGGGCTTATCTGTATTTTTGAAATCCTCGAGCGTGTTCACATTTCTGATGATGCCCTCGGCTCGCATTGCCGCAAGGGGTGAACTGGGCTCATTAGTTCTGTTGTGGTCAGAGAAGAAATGCGCGAAGGCAAACAAGATACCTACTTGCTGCTCGTGAGAGCATTTCCTAGTATTTGTAAACGGCAACTGGACTCGGGCTCTTCAGAACGCGGTTCATAGAGTCCAAGGACACTTCGCGCTGAGTCGTCGAGCTTGTCATGATCAAGCTTTGAAGCGAAAAGCGCAGAATAGAAAGGCAACTCGATCTCCGAAATGAACGGAGCAAACTGCAAGGGCTTCGCCATGTTGTATGAAGCTGACCAAGACGCAACGCAACGTAAGGCTGAGGCGGGGTGGTAGCCGAGATTTTATAGAAGAGAACTCTTGTTAATATGCCAACAGCCTGATAGCAGGCCGGTAAATATATATATCGTGTAGGGTTTCTTTGTGCAAGCAACAAGAGCACGTATTTATTATTGCCATAGACTTACAGATAAAGGTTCAACTCAACGAAACATGAGACAGCTGAGACTGCTGACCTAATGAAGTCACACCAAAGAGTCGTGGGGCACGTACCTGCCCGACGGACGAGCGATAACTGATAAGACTTGAAAAGCGAACCCCGCCGTGGGGCACCGGCTGGGGTACCATCCATGGCAAGTGCCTGGAACGGCACCTGCCTGTGTCTTGTGATGAGTGACCTGCTCATCAAGTGATGGCCTCACCGTGTTAGCCATGCAAGAACATTTACTTTGATTCTCCCAGAGCTTATTCTCACCCGCCGCTGATTCAAATCAATAACAACCTCTGAAAACGCTTTCCAGCCACCAACTTTTCTGGTACCCTGATGACTACTAAAGATAATCATTACATACCTACAGAGTACTGATGGGGGTTTTAGAGTGCGTTGTGTGGAAGGTTTGTTCCATAAGAAGATGTCTAGACTGGAAGCATCAATACGTGCCTCGACTGTCATTCAATCACTGCATCTCGAATTATACATAGTCAGACTTATCCGTATGCAAACAAGTCGAGATTTTATCTATCTACTTATTTTTACGCCCTAAGACTTAAGAAGCCAACGTTCCCGCTGCCCAATAGGTAGTCCATTTACTTCTACCGGGGAAACAAAGACGAGGTGATCATGTCGCTGTCTTGGCAACTGTCCGCAAACAGATTAACGGTGGGTCAACACCATAGAGTTTATGAAGTACTGCTACTGAAGGCGTCTTTAAACACTATGCCGTCTTTAGTTATTTGTTTGGCTCAAATTGTTAATCGTACCCGTGATCGTCGTCAACAAAGATGCTGGTCACTATTATTTATTTGAGTCGAGACTTACAACGAGCTAGGCGTCTCAATTACCACGGTACTCTTCAACTCAGTTACAATGGTCAAAAAACTTTTGATTGCTGCCACTATGGCATCGATGATTCCCTCGGCCAATGCCTTCAATCCCGCTAAAGATCGGTGGCTTTGTCAACAAAAGGATGCTATCTGCATCACCTCGTTTGTATGGTGCTCAACCATTGGTGAAGATACAGCGAAAGGCTGTTCATATCCTGAGAACACCTGGCCAGAGTCTCCCAACAACTTTGGAAAGAACCCAGCACTGGTTTTGTGGGATCACGAGTATACGATTAGCTGGAAGGGGACAGATGACAACTATACCACTCTTATTGAGTGGCACTTTGTGAGAGACACGGATCGGCCAAGCAACTCGAGTAATTTGACATGGAGTAAGAGTACGACTCGAAACATTACCATTCCTTACAAATAAGACAGGCTAACGCATGAGTAGAGCTCAAAAATAAAGAAAAGTCATATACTTTCAAGTTCAGCGACTTGGCCAGCGACTTTCCCAATAAAGAACACGACGATATCGACGCAGAACAAGTCAAAGCCGCCGCCAGTAACCTCATGAATGTCTGGGCCGTCTCACAACCCGATAGACCTTATGATAACGATGCTCGAGTCCACGGTAGCCCCTGGATGGACAAGTCTCAGCATTTCATAGTCATAGACGACGACGTGGTACCATATCTCGAAACGCAACGCATGATGTATAAGCAAAAGGAGGACGTCAAGTGGCACAATGGTGTCGTTCTCGGTGTTGGTGTTGGTGTACCATTTCTTCTTGCTGCTGCCTTTGTCTTGGGTAGGTTTACGGGTCGGAAGAGGGTCAAGAAGATATCGGGCTACAAGTCTGTTGAATCGTATCATTCGGGGTATAACTCGGCGTATCTTGGTGGTCAATGAAGATTGCCGAGAAGGTGTTTCATATGTACGATGCTGTCGATAAAGTTGTCAGGGATATTGATCGGTTATTACCCCATGTTGTTCATGCATGAATGAAGTGATCGATGATGTGTCTAATGCAATATCACCGTGTGTTAAGCGGGGTATATATGAACTTCAGGAAATAGTATATAAGAATAGAGAAGTTTTCACACAAGAAAAGTGAATAAATTGAATAGTTGTTGAACATATGGAATTATGGTATGTCTAAGAAATTTATCATATGTAGTCGTAGGTAGGATGCTCTAAGCATCATCCCATTCGAAATGCACCCCAACGCCTTCCAATGCTATATACAAGTAACTGTGCATTGTTCAAATCGGTCCCAATATTCAAGTAACCATGTATAAATGCTGTTATCGAGAAGCGGTACCGTCAGGTCTTGCTCGTTCGAAGTTGATCGAAAAGATCAGAATGTTGTTGGTATATCCTTTACAGTCTACCGTCAAAGGCATACTGGGCAGCCAAAGGCCAGCCAAGGATGACAGCGAAGCCAGGGAAGAAGCTGAGGAACTAGTTAGTTACATGCCAATAGAGAAGTGTGAGTGTATGGAATTGTCAACTTACAAGAGGGCTTGGCTGCCAACTCTCTTGAACATCTTGGCGTAATCAGGAGAAGCGGGCTTCTGAGTTCGGGGAAGACGCTCGAAGGGGTGAGATTCCATAGCTCGGCCGGCATTTCGCATCGCAGTCAGGAGAGAAAACTGGCGAGTCTGAACAGCGCGGGCGGCAGATCGAACAACGATGGAAGACATGTTGATTGATTGGGTTGATTTGTTTTTTTGGTGGAAAGTTGTAGTTGAGTTGATTAAGTCAAAGACTTAATAAAGTGATAGACTCGAAGAATTGAGTGGCGATTTGGTTGGAGTGGAGAAGTTGTTACTGCTTTGATGAAGCTGTTGATGGTTGATGATTGTGATGAGAGGAGAAGACTACTTTGGGAACGGTAACTGCCATCTTCTTATACAAGCAAAAATGCAGATCAAATTTTCTATACCGGTACCAACTTGGTAGCTAGCTTGATTCCTTCAAACGGCGAGCTCCCAGCACCCACGTAGCCGGACACATCCATAGTGGTCAGATTTCATCTGGTTTGAATATCATCATACCACTGCTTGGGTTCCCGATCCTGGGGAATTAAAGGGCGTAGAACCAAAGAACCAATCAGAATTGTGGTTTATAATGAGTCAGCAGCACAGGCTCAAACAGTCCAGTGGTGCATGGCACGATTTGGGCGGTTGTGGTGCCATTCTGATCGAGCCGGCGGGGACCGGCGACGCTGGCGATTGGTCAATGAGGACATGCTGGCTACCACCCTGTTTATTCCGTCAACACCTCAATTTATCGACTGATGTTGATGACTGCCTTAAATGAAATTCTGGATCCCTAAATGAAGCAATGACTTTCGCTTCGCCGCTCCCCGGAATGGTCACAAGAGGTCAACCGTGCAGGTCTCGGCCGTGAGAAACACCAACGTTCACCATGATATGATGATATGATAGCTGTCTGGCCACTCACGGCGCTCTCCTACGTACCCCAAGACCAACAGCCCTGTCTCTTCTAATCAAATTCTAGCCAATCTTTCTGACATTGCATGGCTGAGTTGTTCCAGATTGACAGTCCAGATTTGTGGTTGCATGAGATGCGGTTGATGATATCCATGATATGACTGCCGTGGTTCTCGCCGATGCCGAAAAACCAAAACAGCAATAGTGCTATCATTCTTCCTTCTCATTCTGTGCTGAATCTGTGGTCCCTATCGGAGGATTAAATGTCTAAAAGTGGTAACACGGGGGTCGGTTCTTGGACCCAGTTCAAGAGACAGCCGGAGTACAATCACGGAGCAAAGTGGATCTCGGGGCCGAAGGACGGACTCTAAATCATGTGACTCAAAACGTGACAGTGACAGTCTCGACCCCAGCAAGTTCAAGCTGTCAAGTCCAGCTAAGCTAAAGCACCCTGTTAGAGATAAACCCCCAGTCAATCGGTGATCGCGACAAGACGAGACGAGCAACCACGCACGCCCGAACGAACGAGCAATTGCTCAAGACACTCCTTTACAAATCAGTCAATGCCTCTTGTCGATCCTGTCACCATGTCCACGACTCTCATCAAGAGCGGGCCCGCCCAGCAGCAGCCCGCGCCCAAGGCCGATGTTCCCGCGATTCCTCTCGTCAATTCTCCCATCGCTCTGCCAGCATCAATTGCCCATTCGGTACTCCTAGCTGGCTTGTTCTACTGGCGGTTCGATGCCCTGGTGGCCGACCCTGTCACGACCCTTCAGACTGGTCTTCCCGTAGTTGCTGCTGTTCAGGCAGTCTACTTGATGCTGAGTCTTCCTCCAGCGGGATCTTCATTGTCATCTAAGAAGCCGCGTCCCGGTGAAAAGAAGAAGTCTGACGGGAGGGAAGCAAAGTCTTTCCCTGTGAGTGATTGAATATATGTATACAATTTGCAAAACTAACATCATTGGCTTAGACCGCTGTTATTTCTTTGCTTCTGGCACTCATCCTGACGCCCGCCCTCCATATTCTACTCGTCCTTTTCGGCGCGCCGTTCCTTACTCACGCTCCCCACACATTCTTGTGCTGCGCTCACATTGCCGTCCTCGCGATATACCCAGTCTTCTACGTTCGCGGATCCGATCCCGTTCCCCTACAGGCTGTTGTTGGCGTGTCTGCTCCTTTCGATCAGACATTTGGCGGCTTTCTCGGAACAGTGGTTGGAGCGTGGCTTGGAGCCGTTCCTATCCCTCTCGACTGGGATCGTGAGTGGCAGAAGTGGCCCGTTACGATTGTTGTTGGAGCCTACCTTGGATACATCGTTGGCTCTCAGCTTCTGGGCACTGTCTTTTATGGAAGGCGCTGGGCCGTTACTCCTGAGCTTAAGGAGGAATGAGATATTGGTTCATTAGAGTTGCCACTAAGCCTACCCTACGTCTGCATAATAGCTGGGTTAGGTTTGGATCCACGTTCAGGGTTGCAGATGTGCTGAATAATTATGAGATAAAGTCCTTGACATAACAATATCGCCTGTCATCACAGGGATTAAAATATATAATGCTAGACCTTATGAATGCCTGAGATTTCTCTATCGAGCGTCAGGTTCGAGATTATTCCGCCCTACTATATGTGAACTAGATCGACACCTACTTCATCTTTGCAATTATGTTCTCCGAGACTCATTGGATCACAGTCTGTCGTATCGACGTGTGAGAATGCTGTAGGGATGAGCTTTTCTCGTCATCGGCAACCAGTCACTGATCCCGTCAACCCTCAATCTATACGAGAGATGAAGGATGCTAGATGCCCTGCAGATTCACGATCCGGGATCTACCCGGGTCACCCTCCCATTACGTATGACAAGTCAAGTCGTTGTCGTGTGCCAAGGGGATTCATCCCCGTCGTGCCTGGAACTACACTCGGTGTCCTTCTCCGATGGCTGGACCGTCATACCTCTTCGTGACATTCGTATCTTAGGTACTGTACATAGGTTCTGGAAGACGATGAGCTTCATATGATCATGGCTTGGCGGATAGTGCGCTGTTCACAAAAATATAACCTTCAACTACCTACATAGTACAAGCTGCTACAATGCCGACTAACCACGTCGCTAAGCAAGCCCACTCTTCGAGTAAGCTAGGCATTTACACAGACTGTAGCTGAAACCTAGAGTTGCAATATCACAGTCTAACATCTAATTGGCCGGTACAAGATATCTCTTAATGTACTGCGACAACTTTCTGGGCAGAGGAAAGAGTGCGGCAGGCTGGTGTACAGATTGTAAGCACAGCAGACTAAATATGGCGACAAGAGGAATACTAACCAACTGTGAGGGTGTTGTTTGGACTCCGGAGCAGGTAGTCGACGCATGGCTTTGCAACCATACCGCTTCCAAGGATCAGAATCTTTTTTCCGGCCATGATCGTTATTACACGTTGGAGTGCTTGTTACAAAAGAGTTGGCTGAGTAAGACGGATGGTGTGAGTTGAGGGAGAGCAAAGAAATTGAAGTACATGTTTTTCTTATCGAATTTATAGAGTCTTGAGGCCTTCTGCGTACGCATGAGTGTGTTCCCCCTTTCCTTGCGACATCGGTTTGTTATGATTTGTGGCCGCAGAATTAGTCACTCGCTGAGAATACACGGTTGGTAGGCATTCATCATGGTATTTCCAGTGCAACAAGGTTTTACATCCTCGATTATAATTTGCTGCCCGCTCTTCGCCCGAACTCCTTGGGCCGGTCCAGGTTTTGCTCTGCGTCATGACAAAAACGGTGGTCAATCAAAGGTATCGATCGCTGTGCAAACTGCTTACACAATCGCTTTAAAAAGGACGTGCAGTCAACCGGCGTCATGTTGGTGATATTAAAACCTAAACACAGATAGCAGTGAGAGTCCCTGCTTTTGCTTGGGACCTTTCCTCCACCAGGGGCCTTATCGATCCGACTGGGCAGCTCAAGCTGATGAGAATGGAGTGTGTACCCAGATCCAAGATCAGCAAGATAAGGGATACGCCTAGGTAATTTTTGCATTGGTGTTGGCCATATTCTGAATCCCATTCTAATGAGATCAGGACATACTGAGCAATTGCCCTCGCGAGAAGCAGTGGTTTGGCGCGTTATGTAACAAACCTGCGACGATCGACTGAACCTCATATTCCAAAGCAGTACAATCTTTTGGGGACGTACACTTTCTAGAGAGTTCTGTTCAAGGAGAGAGGGTTTGTTGCGAAACAGATAATACGCAGGTTAGTTAGTAGTCGCCTGATATGCTCTACTGATGAACTTGTACAACATAACTGCGTTTCGCAGTGGTAAGTAATAAAGAGCTAAGAAAACGTTAATTAGATCTAGAAGAGTATACCTGTAAGTGACTGTTGTGCCATTCGCCATTCCTGTAGGCCCACACATCATATTTGTTGAAGCTTCCCGCCCAAGGAGGACCGATTTTCAAAGTATGCAAGTGAGATATCATATCAAGCTCCTTCAATCCATTTGAAAGACACTGACTATCCCGACACTTCATGTATGAACTCAAAAACCTCGGAGTGAAGAACAGGCAGCTGGGGTTCGAGAACTATTCAACGAGATCCAGCATATAACCCTACAGACACACAGACTAGCCAGGGGCATCATGCAACATAAGAGTTTCTCAGGTACATCCTTCCGGAGCTTGCCACGGGGGAAATTCACTCTTCCCGATAGGTCAGTCCCTATCAACGGTTGATGCTATATTTAAGAGCTGATCAGTGTTAATGAGGCTCTGCTGGGATGCTGAAGGTAGGGCCATAGGAATCGAATGTGCGCGACGACGCGTGAATTAAGCTTATATTACAGTGCATGGCTATAATTGGATCATCAGTCCTCATCCAGGCAGCCCCGAATCACTTTTCAATTCCACAGCTGGCTCCAGACATTCTTTCGAGAATTTTGTCAACGTAGACAGGTATGTCGTCCTGATGATAGAAGGGAAGCTAGATGGAATTTGCGAGACTTGTGGCGATGGCGCCCAGACCGGGTTGGTGTTGACCCCGAAAGTGAAGAAAGAGCAAAGAGACTAAAGCTGGAGTTATTATCCAGCCCTAAGAGGGGAAAGTAGCTTAAGTATAAGTTGCAAAGAGCATTATAATTAGTTGAAAGGTTCACCGCACTACTGGACGAAGGAAAAGTAACAAAGTGTGACTTCGTTTAATAACTAGACTATACGCGGATGCCAAAGGCATGATTCTTCAAGCAGCAGCTAGATACTATGTGGTTGATGCTTTATGAAGTTCGCATTCGCCCGTGCTGTAATATGGCTGTGGCTGCTTAGCGTAGAATTTTACAGTAGAATGATCCTTGCCTGGATAAGATCAAGAGCAGGACTAATCTTTATTGGGCGAACCGTACCTACGCTCCGTAGCCCTGCATCTAGGGTTGGTTCCAAACTTTATGACCCCAGATTCCATGTGCTGACGCTGATATCATCCTTCTCTCTGCTGATATCATAACGTCAAGTTTAGGCTTTGAGATGGGATCATTTCTATCACGTCGTTTACAACGAACAACTTGCCTCTATGCTTAGTGTATTCCTCTAGCAGATGCAAAGACGAATCTAGACTTGCTAAAAGGGGGCTGCCGAGCTGTTCCCTCTTGGCCCTCCACTTGAGTGCCGGTGAGGCCGCGATGCAAGGACTTGGGACTTGAGTAGATGCTTGGCACTGACGCGTATTCGTAGCCTCAAGTGTTTTTGAAACATGCAAAAGACTGAACAATTCAGCATTAACCGAGCCAAGAGCCAAGAGCCAAGCTGAAATTAGTGAAAGACTTGACAAGCCACGCCTAAAAAAAATCAGGAAGAATTTTCAGTGGGCACCGACAGCAAGGAAGGCTGAAAGAAGCATGGCAAGAGAGAAGTCCAGTAGCAATCATGTTTCCTTTTTTGGCAGGGCATGTTGAATTGACCTTGCCGCTAAGTCTTGGGTGTCGGTAGTCTCGGCATCTTTGATCTTGTGGTGGTACTCAAAGCCAGTTTACCCAGTAACGTACTCATTACGACAATAGTGTGTCAGGTAATCTTGTTATCAGGCACACTGCATATCTCAACAATCTGCAACGACTTGACACATCGCTTACGATGTCTAAGAGGCTGAGGCTCATGCAAAGACTGTAATTGAATGCGAGAATGGTTAATTGAGATGAATATCAAGACTCGAGGTCTAAATTGGCGTCAGAAGACCAAAATTTCCGAAAACCCAGCCACAAAGATCAACGAATATCGATTGACGAATCCTTTCGTTTATCGCATGCTTTGGTGGTGGTTCGACCTTGTTATCGTTGGTGAATAGTTTGCCCCAGCCACATCAAGACATGCGCCTCATGACGTAGTCCTAACATCCCCTGTCAAATCTGCGACTAATACAACATGACTGGGGGGGCCGGGCTAGCCCGACCTCACTCGAGCTTGCTGTACCTTCTAGCTTCTGTACCTACTTCAGGTCAGGCGGTTAAAATTGACCAAGCAGGGCAGCGTTTGCTTGGCCTACGACTGGCTCGTAGCGAGATGTTGTCCCTGTGGCTTGCCACATCCTTGCTAGGTCGATGACGCAGTGCCCAGAGTGCAGATGCGGTTGAGGTTGCGCGGACACTCTTGCCGTTGCTTGGTCAAGGAAAGTTGGAAACTGTGATTAGCAGGTACAGTACCTACCGTACCTTCCTTAGGTTTGGGTGTGTGATGTGATGTGATGTTATGCCATGCTTGGTCCGTCGATGACCGAGTCTGTATAAAAGACTCTGGTTCCCTCCAACTTACCAAACCTTTTCTCCCATCCTATAACAACCCAAAGCCTAACAAAGTTCCTAAACAACTTTCCAACTACTACCAAATCACACATTTTCGAGTAATTCCTCGTCTTCACAACCGACAACATGCCTTTCACCGCTAGGTAAGCCGACTTCTTGCAGTATTCTCGACTGAACGACGACGTCATCCCGAGCGATCCGCAGTCAACGCTGTCGCAAGATATCGCAGGATGGTCTTCTCGAGCTGTTCAGAACACAGGCACAGAAACTGGAAGCATCACAACATATACTAACATCTCCTCCAGCGACATCTGCAAGATCATCCTTGCCATCATCCTTCCTCCCGTTGGTGTCTTCCTCGAGCGCGGTTGTGGTGCCGACTTCTTCATCAACATCCTCCTCACCATTCTGGGTAAGTCACTTATCAATTCAACCCTTGCACCCGATCCCTCCGGCGCAGGCCCACGCTGGCACTCAAAACTATCTATATACACGTGTTGCTCAGCAGTTGACTAACTCGCCCTCAGGTTACATTCCCGGTATTATCCACGCTCTATACATCATCCTGAAGTACTAAGCCTTACCGCACTTGACTTCTCAGGGCTACAGCGCATCCCAAATGGCTTAATGAGTACCCCGCTTCCCAACAACCGACAACAACTGGTCAGCCATCGGTTGTCCTGGACCAAGCGACATTCTGTCTGACAGCCAAGACACCAATGACTGCCGTGTCAACCGGGTACGCGCATTCGCCCGGAAGTTTTGTGTTTCTGTTTGCGCAACCTTGGCTTCGCTTTGATACCTTACGCCGGTGATCCGCGCTTACGAGTTTGGACGCCGATTTTATGACAGGCATGGACGCGATGCGATACCAGTTCCTTATTTTCTTTGTTTATTTGCGGATGGAGGCGCATGCTGGATTGGCTCTCAAGGCATAATGCATTGGGCTTTTTAGTAATTAATTCGATACCCGTCAATCCAACGTTTCCTTGACATCTAAATTTTATTGTCTTTTGTTGTTTGCAACACGGTGATTGTATTTCTGTCTGACTGATGTGACCCAGGCTTCTTGGCAGACCCGCCTCGTAACTATCGGCAGATGAGCGACATGGGTGTCTTCATGTAGACGGATAACCTTTTCCATTGATCACTATCAGGAATTAAGGTCCTGTCAACTTAAACCTTGTACTGATGCAAAGGGTTAGGACGCCAAAGTGCATGCATTTGAGGGCTTCTAGCTACAAAATCGCAATCAATCTTTCGTTGGTACTTCAATGATTGAGACATCTCTGAAGGATTCAAAGTTTTCGATTGGCGATAGGATCATTTGAATTTGCCAGCGTAGCACTTGCTTGCAGCGGATCTTGTGGCGGTGCAGTTTGTTGTTTGATTTCAGATTAATGCGAATGTGGAGTCTTTCTTTATGCATGTTATTAAGTACGTACGAAATACATTAGTACTAAATATTCGAGATGGAAAGAAGATGTTCATGTACTTATTTTTAAACGTGAATTAACTTTTGTTGCATAACTAAATTCCCTTTGTTAAAGCCTCATGAGAGTTTAATAGATAATCACGTGCTTTCGCTCCCTACATCACCATTGGACCGCGTCACTACGCGTTTCACGAACCATGCACTTAAACCATCACTCTCACCCTCCGACATGCCTCTAACACAGCCAGAAGTAATAGAAATACTTGACGATGATGACACGGCTTCGGAGCCCGGCTTGAACAGCCCTACTCCTTCAAAATCGGCACAGAAAAGGAAACATGAAACCGAAATCGAAGAGAAGGTTGGGTGGACAGGCGATGAGGATGATCTACCTACTAAGCAAAAAAAGCGCCGTGCCAAACGAAAGTCTACACGGAAGAAAGGAGAAAAAAATGCTGATGCAAAAAGCGAAGTTCCTGAGGAGAATTTTGAATTGGTAGACATACCTGAATATCTCATCGAGCGCAGGCAGCAGTTTGACAATAAGAGGAAACTCCACCATGACGCTGCTTTGATGGTACCACCAGACTACTCTGATATTCATTTTGAAGAGACAGGACGACTCAGAGAATTAGAAGAGCGACCAAAATTCTCCGAGAGTAGTGGTATCAAGCCTTCACGACCGTACAAGGACATTGAACTGCCTCAATCCGCAGGCCTCATCCCGGCATCTATCGCGCAGTACCTTCGAGACTACCAAGTTGCTGGTGCATCATTCCTTCACAGGAAATTTGTCTACCAAGAAGGTGGTATACTGGGAGATGACATGGGTCTTGGCAAAACAGTGCAAGTGGCGGCTTTTTTGACTGTTGCATTTGGTAAGACTGGTGACGAACGTGACGCCAAACGACTACGGCAGATTCGTCAGTACCCTGATCGATGGTACCCGAGAGTACTGATTATATGCCCTGGATCTCTGATTATGAATTGGAAGAATGAGTTGGATCGGTGGGGCTGGTGGCATACCGACCTGTTTCATGGAGCCAACAAAGAGGATGCTCTGAGTACTGCTCGTGCGGGTCGAGTCGAGATTATGATCACCACTTATGACACATACAAGAACAGTCGGAGTTCCATCAACTTGGTCCAATGGGACGCAGTGATCGCCGACGAATGCCATAGGTTGAAAGACAGGTCCTCAGAGACTACCAAGGCTCTGAATGAGATCAATGCACTTTGTCGTATCGGTTTGACTGGCACGGCAATCCAGAACCGATACGAAGAACTCTGGACGCTCCTAGACTGGACCAACCCTGGCCACTTTGGGACCCTTCCTGAATGGACGCAGACGGTAACTAAGCCACTGACAGTTGGACAGTCTCATGATGCAACCGGAGCCCAACTCAGTCTGGCGAGGACAACAGCCGACAAACTGGTCCACAATCTTCTACCTCAATACTTCCTTCGGCGAATGAAAACTATCATAGCACATCAATTACCCAAGAAGACAGATCGAGTCGTCTTTTGCCCCTTGACGGATTTTCAACGGGACGCTTACGAGAAGTTCCTCAACAGTGCAGATATCGAACTCATTCGAACTCTTTCAGAGCCATGCTGTGGAGGCAAGAAGAAAGGATGGTGTTGTAATAGCTTTCTTTCTGACGGCAGGCGATGGCAGAACATAGTCTTTCCCAACATGATGGTTCTGCAAAAGCTTGCCAACCATCTGACTCTTCTCGTGCCTCAGACGACTGACCTAGAAGCAAAACACGACACAGATATGAAAACACTTCGAACTTGTTTGCCAGATACCTGGAAATACATTTACGACAACAGGGACCGGATCAAGAACCTGGTGAACCCCGAATTCTGTGGAAAATGGAAGGTTTTGAAGAAACTGCTCAAGTTCTGGCATACCAATGGTGATAAAGTGTTGGTATTTTCTCACAGCGTGCGGCTTCTGCGTATTCTGCAGCATCTCTTCACCAATACGAGCTACACTGTCAGTTATTTGGATGGCTCATTGAGTTACGAAGCACGCCAGGAGGTTGTTGACACATTCAACTCTGACCCAACACAATTTGTTTTTCTCATATCGACCAAAGCCGGAGGCGTTGGTCTCAATATCACATCTGCGAACAAGGTCGTTATCATCGACCCTCACTGGAACCCGTCTTACGATCTTCAAGCACAAGATCGAGCCTACCGTATTGGTCAGACTCGCGACGTCGAAGTCTTTCGTCTTATCTCGCTCGGCACAGTTGAAGAAATTGTCTACGCGCGGCAAATTTACAAGCAACAGCAAGCGAACATTGGCTACACTGCATCATCCGAGCGCCGTTACTTCAAGGGTGTTCAGCAGGACACAGACCGCAAGGGTGAGATTTTTGGGCTTGCCAACATCTTTACATATCACAACGATAGTGGCCTACTCCAAGACATCGTCAATAAAACCAATATTGCCGAGGCCAAAGCGGGCGTGCATCTTGTTGACGTCGATATGGAGAAGGCAGCCAAGGATGAAGAGGACCTTGGTGTTATCAAGAACGAAGCGCCGGATGCCGAAGACGGTGGCATGAGTCAACTTGCCTCGCTTCTGACGGTGGAGAACCAGCAGCGGATGCTGGATTCTAAAAAGGCCAAAAAGCCCAAGAGCGATGCGATACAAGCCATCCTCACTTCTGCCGGTGTCGAGTATACACACGACAACAGTGAGGTAATTGGATCGTCCAAAATCGAAGAGCAACTCTCGCGGCGGGCAGCCATGACTTCGTATTCTACACAAGAGGGACAGAGTGCCCTCTTTGCTGATCCTGGTAACGAGCGTGGTGAAGGTCTATTCGGCATATACAACCCACCCGAAGAGGCGAAGTTGCGACAATTTTGCGAGATGGCCAAGGAATTTGGTTTCGCAAACGCGACAGAATTTGCACTCGTAGTGGAAAGCTGGACGCAGGAGGCAAGGCGGAATTGTCTGGATCTGTTCTACAAGAAGAGAGAAGCCAAGCTCATCAAAGAGGGGATTATCAAGGAAGAGGACGTGAAAGATGTTGCCAAGGATGAGGCGCGCAATCCAGGTACAAAGGAAGAAGTCAAGGACGAGAAAATGGATATCAGCTCTGCCTTCAAAGACGAAGATGTCAAGGACAACAAGGAGAACATTTGGAAGACGGAAAGCATCAAGACTGAAATTTTCAGCACAAAAGTTGAAGAAGAGAAGAAAGTCAAGACGGAAGGCGCAGGATCCAGTATACGAATGTCGATATTCCTGTCAGACGACGACGACGATGATGAGTTGTAAGGCATTAATGCTTTCGATTTGATACCCTTCATATTCATAATGCATAGCTCATTTTTTTTCTTTCTTTTCATGTTGCTCAGCCCCCAAAAGCTCAAAACTCTCGCATGTCTACTTTGTCAGTGTTCCCAGGACATGGGGAAGAAGACGGAATCTTGCCTCTCCCACTGGTGGCGCTAGATCGATCTTCTCCCATGGCCCAGCTTCTCTCAACGTTTTGCCGGTCGACCGGCAGATTCGGCATGAACCCATGACTTGCGACCACACGAGTCCAGTGACCCCTGATCAATGTCAGCAATTGCTCGGGCGAGAATGGAAATAATTGACTCACATTGATAGGCACGCAAAAAGAAGCTCCTGCTCTCATCGATGCGCACATGCTCATACGCATACCATCGACCACCTTTCTTGAGACTTTGGTAAAGAAGCTTGATGTTCTTCTCAGGCTCAGGGATACTGCAGAGGCACAGAATAGTGACGATGCAGTCAACACTTTCAGGCTCGATTCTGCCATCCCACGCTTTGGGGTCATTGATGGACTCGATGCCCACTGGGACAACCTCATAGACGCCATCAAGCCCAATCTCCTTCACCCGTCGTCGTAGAGTAGCCGCAGACTTGGGGTTGGGTTCGATGCCGTATACACGAGTCAAACCGCTCTCTTCTCCCTTTCTCCGTCTGAGTTCCCCATCATCGCCCTCCTCGGTGTTCACGCCGACGTTGACTTTGGCAAACACATCCGCCCACATTCCGGTCCCCGCACCAATCTCAAGAACAACTCCGTTGATGGGCCTCTCGACAACCTCATCCCCCCAGCGGCCATTCTTTACACGTCCTTCGAGTA